GAGAAACGATGAAAAAAACAGCGCCAAAAAGGGGGGGGGGGTAGGTGTCAAGTAGAGGGTGGCCCAGAAAGGCCTGTCTGAGAAGCATCGTTTGCACACAGCCCAGAATGACTTGGAGTGAGCCATGGCTCTCCACCCAGTCTTAGCCCCAAGGCCGAGAAGCGGTGAGCCAGGCGCTCTGGAGAGAGATCCCAGACAGGAGGTAACAGCGAGTGCCCAGCCCCTGAGCCGGGGTGCTTGGACTCAGAGGTAGCAAGGGAACCATGTGGGGCATCAGTAAGGCCCAGTGGCGGTGCGTATTCGAGGAGCGTGAAGGATTTGGGATTTTATTCTTGCTGTGATCATCAGCCACCGGGCAGCGTGGAAACAGTGCCGTGTGCTCTGCGGGGAGTAGACTATAGGGAGGCCAGAGCTGGTGTGGAGCATGCTGGTGTGGGCCTGGTGGCAGCTGCAGAGGTGGCAGGAAGTGGCTGGATTTGGACGTATTTTGAGAATGGGTTTCACAGGCCATGTTTGTGCAACAGAGGTAGGGTGTGAGAAGGTGAGAATTCAGGGACTCAGAGCCCTCGGCCCGAGTCGCTGGAAGAATGGAAGTGCCATAGAATAATATTTCATCTTGCAAACGTGTGATCTTCATCCCAGTCACCAGGGAGGCACCGCGCATCACCGAGTGCCTGGTGACCTCGGTAAGGCGCTTCGCTGCCTGGGTTGGAATGCCAGCCCCGTGGTTCACCATGTCTGATCCCGGCAGGTGTCCACCCTCCCCGTGCCTTCGCATTCTCGTCTGTCACACGGGCATCGCGGGGGTACGTGCACTGCGTGTGCAGAGTGCCCAGACCCTGCCTGGCGCACACGGGGCGGCCGGGACACCTGGCGGGAGAGGCTGCGGTCACTCGCCTATTCTCCCTGCGGTCGCGGAACCTGGCAGGGTGGGGCGCGGGGCGCAGGTGATGGGTGCTCAGCTACAGGAGGAAGTGAGTGACCGAATAAATAAATGAGCAGGCGATGGAACGCTGGGCTGGCGGCCCTGCACTGCCTGGAACGGCCCGTGTTTCCTGTCCTACCTAAACTCCCCTCCTGACCCAGTGGCCTGACTTCAGCGCGGAAACGCGGCCCCTGCGTCATCGAGACCGGGTCTGGCCCGATTGTTGTCTTACCGCAGAGCGAGCTGCCTTTAGAGTGGGCGCTGGGTGTTCGTGATGAAGGTTCTAGCAAAACGTGGTGTGCGGCTCCTCTCTCAGCCCCTCTGCTCCCAATTTAGGCCCACGGCTCCCGCGGGGAGCCCTGGGCAGTACTGAATGTTGATAAGAAGGCCGCTCTGCCCCTTTGTTTTGAACATGCTGCTACTTTGCATGTTTTTGACTTTTTGTTCTGTTAGTCTTTCCTGTGTCTCAGTTTTCCTGTGATGTGATCACCGTTTATTAGGGAATTTTAAGGAAAGGGGAACAGAGGCCGGTCAAGGGTTCCACCGTCACGTGGTCGCCTGCAGAGGCACCTGCTTTTCCTGCCCTTTCTGCTCTACCTGTTGCCAGGGTCTGGGCGCTTAGATTAGGCCGCTATCTGCTCCTCCTGTTCTCCTGTGCTCCAGGGGTGGCGAGAAAGTGAGAAATGAAGGTCAAATGTAGTTATAATATTAATAGGAATGTAGATTGCGAATACAGATTGAAAATCTGTGGCTACAGATAAAGGAAAAAAACATCTCAGTTGAAATTTAGATAGTATCTCTACTTTTAAGAGGAGAAAATTGAAGCGTATTAGACAGAAGGTCACAGACTGTGTTGGAAAAGGGCCAGAACTTAGTTTTACATTTCTAGAGGGTAAGTATTCAGGTTCTCACCAGAATATTGGATTTTCACTTGAAGTTCGTGTGCTGTGGACCGGGTTCGGCTAAGACGATAATTTGCAGTGTGTGTTATGTAGAAACTTTGCTGTTGGAATTGCCAGGAGTATGCGATTACAGTTTCTTTAATTGATGTTAAAAAGAAAATTTCACCTTTCTCGTTACCCGAGCGACAGTAGGAGGAGCGGGCTGCTGAAGTGGTCGTGCAGATAGGAGGTCGCATCCGGCGTCAGAGGGGCTCGTAAATGTACAAGGGGACTTCAGAAGTACATGGAAAAAAGGAATTAAATTTCGAGTTTGTTTTGATCCAAAAAGGTTGACGTCCATGCGTAGTCTTTTTTATGATGCTGATTTTCCAAAAACTTGTTGAACTCCCATCGTGTGCGTGCCTGGCAGCTCGGGTGGCTGCTGTCCGTTGGAACAGCCACCCTGGGGCTCACAGAGGGCGTCTACAGAGGCGTCGTAGCTGTAAGACTCGCTGCACGCACCTGCTGTCTAAAGGAGGGCCGCGATGAGAGGCGTGGGAGAGGCCAGTCCTTCCTACCCAAGCGTCAGGTGTAAAGCTCTGTTTCAGCTAGAGTCCCGCCTGACCTGTACTGAGACCCCGCTTGTCCCACAGGGTTGTGGCGAGGTTAGACGAGTGATGTATGTGAGGAAGCAGGCTTTGGCCTGTGCAGTGCCGTTCCATGCGTAAAAGAGCACCATTTAAAAACTTGGTTTAAGTACCTAAGAGCATTTTGCTAGCACTGTTATCAAAGAAAATAAAAATCTTTTTTTATTTCTATATGTTATTTGGATTTTAATTTTTATAATTTAATAATTTATTATAATTTAATAATAATAAATCATTTTTATTATTTACAAAATTAAGCTATAGTATACCATGAGAATGGTAGGTACTGATAGAGTACAGTATGATGTATCCCTGAAACAGACTGATTCGCAGAGGAGTAACCTCGCATACTTTTCCTTTACTGTGGTGGTATGTATTTGTTGGTAGCAGTTGTTTGTTCTGGCAACCAATACGTAATATTGCGTGTTCTTTGATTCTAGGGAGCGCGGGTTGGTAGAATTGACGCTTTCGTTCAGAGCTTGGACAAAAATTTCATGGTTCCAGTAGGTGGCGCTATCATTGCTGGCTTTAATGATTCCTTCATTCAGGAAATCAGCAAGATGTATCCAGGTAAATAAGTTTTGTTTTTGTTTTTTTTTTTTTTTTTTAAGAAAAAAGTAACTAATAAAAATCCATTTGTACACAGGCTGCTACAGTAAATCTCCATTTCCAAAGCTGGCCCTATCCTGAAGGTGACTTGTCTCTGTATTGCAGGAAGGGCTTCCGCCTCACCTTCTTTAGATGTCCTCATTACCTTATTATCGCTTGGCTCCAACGGCTATATGAAGCTGTTAAAGGAAAGGAAGGTAAGCGTTCCTTCTAGGTGTAAACGACTACTCTGGACTAGAGCAGTGCTCCAGATCGACGCTCTGCCTTTGGCTTATCACACTGAATATTAATATCTAGTGTAGTTCCAAGTGATCCGCATGCCCTCGGTGGCTCTCAGTTATTGTTCTCTCTCTCCACATATTCTGAGGACTCTTGGGCAGGCGACTTCATTTTCCCTTTTAAGAAACTCCTGCATTAGGGATTCTTGGGATTTGTGAAAGAAACAATTTCTTAGAACACTTGTATTTCTAAGATTCTAGAGTATTTTTTATAACCTGTTGTTTCATGAGAGAGACAGAAAGGGAGAGACAAGCACCCCCAACAGGGTCCTGATGCCAAGGTACACCCCGGCCTCAGCTAGTCAGAACCACAGACACACGTGCAGGCACCTGGCGTGTGTAGGAGACCTCAGGACGTGAACCCAGGACCTTCCCATGTGACCTTAGCACCTGCTAATTAGCTCTCAGTTGCTTGTCTCCAGCCCAGTTTTCCCTGTGAATACTAGACTCATACATCCCAGTCTCGACTCAACCTCTCTGTCTGATGGCCATGGACATCCCACAGTTCTGTCCAGAACAAAACTGCTCGTTTATTTATTCAGCCAAATGTTTATGTGTAGGCCCTACGGTCGAATTTACAGAGAAGACTGTCACAGTCCTCAGCCTCATGCAAGTGCTGTGGGGGAAAACGAGGTGTTAAAGAAGCGAGTTCAAATCTCATGAGAATTATGAAGGGAAGAGCAGACTGTTTGAGAACATCTGCCACCAAGCCCAGTGGGGGCATCTAGCCTGCTCTGGGGTGGTCAGGGAAGAGCTTCCCGCAGAGGTGGTAGCTACTCTTTGAAAGTGCATCTCGTGCATTTAGTCACTGACTTTGACGGTGTGATCACGAGTCGGACCGGATGGCTAGTACGGCTGGTGGAGTTGTGCAAGGGGTATTTTAAACTGAGCCTGGAACCAAAGTACTGTGCAATTATTGGGGAGTTTATGACGTTAGCTTTCTTTTAGGCTAGGTTCAGGTTCACAGGTCCAGCGTGGGGCTCAGGCAACTGCATTTCTGACCATTATTGTCATGAATTTGGTGCACACCCACGTTTGAGACCCATTGTTTTGGGGTACACAGGCCACTTCTATGGGTAACAGAAATGTGCAGAGGAAACAGTATCATCTCATTTTAGCACCTATGCATGAGTACAAAATGTTTCACGGTGTTTGAGGTGGACTGCGTAACTATCTTAAATATCAAAGCCTGAACATATAACTTGGTAGTTGTCTATGTTTATGTCTGAGGATTTATAATCTGTTTTTTTCTTAGCTGCTTTTTGTTTTATATTGTTCATTCTGCAGATTTGGCCAAAATTCACTTTAACTTAAATAAAATGAATATATTTTAATTCTGACAGTAGGGCCATTATATAAAGTTTTAAGTTGGTCATTTTCAAAGTGTACTTTATTACATAGATAGAAACTTTATAGGCTTTTATGTGCTTTTATTGTAATGCCGATAAGAATGCTACTTGGTATTTCCTGCTTTTCTTCTTCTTGAATTGAAACTGTAAATAATAATAGTTCATAATATGAAATATATGGATTAAGAAACTAGTACAGGTCTTGGATAACTTTGTAGTTAAGTGTTTTAATTGGCAAATTAAACTGGTAGTTTGAGTGCACACTTATAAAAAGTTAGCATTAGATACCTACGAATCCAGTTAGACTTGGCCCTTCATCCTAGGTCATCTGCTAGACTGATCTCGCTCCTTGGAGTTTGCCGTTCATTCCTCTGTCCTTAGCATCCCTTGTTTAATTATATAGTGGATACTTATCAAATGCTTGTTGAGGGCCAGCAGGTGGCATGGTGGTTAAGGTGCTAGAGTCCCACATAGCCACCAGTGGTTCGAGTCCTGGACCTGGCAGCTTAGAAATCACAGCAGATAAATAGATAAATAAATAAATGAATGTTTAAAAAACGTTGGTTGAGTGAACTAACAACAGTATTGAGGAATACCTGGGTTGACTGTTGTGCAGTCATCTTTTGTTAATACGGAATACAGATTTTCTAGTATCTTTCTGGAAAATGAGAAAGCAAATAAGATTGAAACTGACTTCCATCATGAGTTTGATATTCATCCAGAAACACTTCCC